TCTTTGCTCTGAATCTGCTGCTTGTGGTACGTCGCCCATGTTGGCTCCTTCACTTCCATCCATGCGGCTCTACAATCTCCTTGTCGCTCACAGACATCACATTCACTTGACGCCTTTTCTCCACCAAACGGTTTCACTCAACGTCTGTCTTCATAACTCTTTACCACCGTTTTCTTCCGGTTACATCTGTCCTGTGTGATAATGACCTGATAATGGCAAGGAGTCAGCATGTGTGTCATTGTTTTTTTGTTTAGGAGCCTGTTGTATAAATGTAAGGCTAGAAGGCAGGGGTTGAGATAAAGTTAGACTAGGCCTGTGTTTTTTCAAAGGTCACTGGCCCCCACCTTCGTATCCACTGGCCCAGGAACATCGCTTTAGATTTATAAAATAACAGTCAAGAGTTTACCCTTGACATGAAGAAAAAGAACGGATCTGATGCAACAAATTCATTGAGTTCTTCTCGTATTCCTACAGCTACCAAGCAAAGTACCAAACCAATTCTACTCGACTTATTTGTCTGCATATGTCCCCATTGATCGGCACATTTGGCAAAAATCACAATATTTAGCTCGAATGTGTTCCAGCCAACTGCGGCGGTCCCTCTGTGTGGCTAGAACTTTCTCTCCATTCTGCTTTCAGACTCTCGGTCACTTTCCCTCCACTCTAACAGTGTTTTCTTGTCTTTGAATGTTTATTTTGGGTCATGGAGCTGGTGGTTTTCAAAACATTTCACCATGCTAGTTTAGAGAAATTTGCTCTACGATCCAAGTCCAAGCTCAGGTGTGTTTTTTAGATACGCAAGTATCTGTACTTCTACTCGAGGAGAAAATGTGTGACCTCTTTTCCAAACTCAAATTTATAGACCATGGACACAACCGGGACACAACAACAAACGGGTGCACTTACACCTGTGCATGCAAAAACAAAACACATCAGAAAATGTGTTAAACTCCTTTGCACCCCCCCATGGAGACGGTCATCATGGCGAGGAGAGTCTCAAAGTCTTCTAGACGTATTGTCTCAAACGTCCAGTTGACCTGAATCTGTTTTATTTGAAAAATCATTTAAACGAAATTAATCCTTTTACAAAGAGCTTTAAATGGCAGCAAGGGGCATCAAAATAAAGGTTATGAATGTAGAGCAGTGAGCGTGTGCGTGTGTGCGTGCGTGTGTGTGCGTGTATGTGTGTGCGCATGTTTGTGTGTAGGTGTGAATAAGAAATGTAATCAGGCTCGGTTCACTGTGGAAAGACCTGGTTAGAGACCTCAGCTAGATTACTTTAACGCACACACACACACAAAACTGTTTCGGAGTCAGACACACACACACACACACACACACACACACACACACACACACACACACACACACACACACACACACACACACACACACACACAGAGTCACCTAAAGCATCATTTTACTTCAGTAATAAGACACACTCCTTCTCTGCCAGGCAGCCACACAGTTATATACCAATATCAACACACACACTGTTACACTATACACATAAACACAAACACAAACACACACACACTCACGCACGACTGCACTGCTGCTGTGGATTAGATCCATTTAGCTCAGGTAGACATGATGGATGAAATCTCTTTTAGCCACCTGTTCCTGTTTACAGTGTGTGTGTGTGTGTGTGTGTGTGTGTGTGTGTGTGTGTGTGTGTGTGTGTGTGTGTGTGTGTGTGTGTGTGTGTGTGTGTGTGTGTGTGTGTGTGTGTGTGTGTGTGTGTGTGTGTGTGTTAAATCTGTTTGTGTGTCGGCTCCACAAGGTGGAACATTTATGTACCGGGTTCAGACTTTCTTGGTCATCATTTCAATTTAATAAAGACAGAAGGCATGAACACTGAAGGATTTGGTCTTGGATGGCACGTGGTCGTGAGTGTATCAAAATGTCTCTTAGACATAGAAAAACTTCATCTCCCAGAGGGCCGATGTCTCGTTAGGTTTCTTTAGGTATACATGAATCCTGCTGCTCTGCTGAGGATTGTTCTTGAGTTTCATGCAGACTTCCCCGTGCGTGTGTTGATTGTAGCAAGAAGTTTTTTTTTTTCTTTTCTTTACGTTGCTCTCCTCTTCAAAAGTCACTGCTCTGCCCTTTAAAACCAAAATGCCACCAAGTTCTGCCCAAAGTTTCTGCTTTTATGCACCAGTAGCTGAAGGAACACACTCAACTTTTCATTACTCCTTTTCTTTTGTGTTGCCATATGGATTCTTCATCAGTTATGTCATCACCATCCACATCCACACTATGCTATACGATGTGATAAGAGGCGATGCTATGCTATGCTAAGCTATACAATGCTTTGCAATGCGATACGATGCGATACAATGCGATAAGATGTTATATGATGCGATATGAGGCTATGCGATGCAATATAATGCTGTGCTATGCTATGCTAGGCTATGCTATGCAATACGATGCGATATGATGCTATGCAATGCAATGCTATGCTATGTGATGCGATGTGATGCTATGCGATACAATGCGATGCGATGCGATGCGATATGATGCTACGATAAGCTACGCGCTGCGATGCGATATGATGCGATACAAGGCTATGCGATGCAATATGATGCTATGCGATATGATGCTACGATAAGCTAAGCGCTGCTATGCGATGCGATATGATGCTATGCGATACAATGCGAGACGATGCGATACGATGCAATATGATGCTACAATAAGCTACGCGCTGCAATGCGACGCGATATGATGTGATATGATGCGATACTAGGCTATGATGCTATGCTATGCTATGCTATGCTTTGCTATGCTATGCGATATGATACGATGTGATAAGATGTGATATGATGTGATCCCAACACAATTAAACACAGAAAAAAATGAGATATATGAAGTATAAGAAATGCATTCATTCTGTACTCTTCACACCATTTGCACAGAGTGAACACGCACACAGGGACACTGTTAGACCTGCACGGTCACACCTGCTTGATTCAGTATCTCTCCTCTCTCCAAACAGTCCCCGAGTCGCTCTAACTCTCAGCCCTGCTGGTGGCAGTCAGCCAAATGGAGCCGGCCGACCCATAAAAGCTCCATCCTGCACCATAAAGCAGAGACTAAAACACACTTAAAGCTCGAGTCGACAGAGAAAATGTGTTTTATGTTGTGGTTCAGAAGCCTCGGGGCGTGCAGACATTAAGACGTTGATATACGGCTCGGGTGACGAGAAGAGCTCGAGGTGTTTTGGTGTTTTTTTGCTGCATTGAGCATTAAGTGAAAGTCGCACACAAACTTGGCAGATCAATTCTGCAGCAAACAAGTGCTTTTTTTTATTAGTGCTATTAGTGCTGGCAAGGAAGAGAGTGGAAACGTTGTCCGACTTTATGATCTGCTTTCAAGAGTGCAGAAAGTCAAATCAGTTCTGCAAGCTGCTCTTCAATTTGACGAGTAAAAGACGACGAACAGCAGATGCAGAGCGGAGGTATCAGAAGGTCGAAGCCAGCCCGGCCTCAACACACGAGGGAACACTGTCTCCATGAAATGCTTACGAAAACATTTTCTGTTACTGCTGCAACCATAGCTTCAGGATTTAAAAAAAGAAAAAAATGTTCAGAGGAGTGAATGTTTCATCCATTTCTATAGGGATGTCACACTCAGAATCAGAATCCAAATCTGGTTTATTGCCGACTGATTTTACACATACAAGGAAATGTATGTCTGTGTTCTTGTGGAATAACAATCATAGAGGCAGAATAAATAAGAGCCGACTTCTACCGTCAAGGAGCTTCAATAGACCCAAAACAGAAAAAAGGGAAAAGGTTCCATGCAGGATCTGTACAGTCTGCAGGTGCATGATTAAAAGTGCAGTCAGGAGCATTTTTCACAGCAGCTTGCAAACACAACATTCAAACTGGCCCCCTCCTCCTCCTGGGCTCATCACCCCTCAGAAGCCCCGCCCCCTGCAGGATGTAGTCTGTACGTTTCCTGGCTATACCGACACTGCGAGCTAACACAGCAAAAGCTAACCGCCGGTGTTGGTCACCTGCCTGTTCAACAGGAAGCAGACCAACTCCACGTCCACGGCTAAAAGTCAACACAAGGTTCACCCTCGTTTCAGAACGATCTTTATCCGCTTGGTGTTTCTCCTCACTGTGATTATATTTTCTCTTCTTTGCTGCTACGTCCACGTCCGTCATATTCACCGGTTTTGAATCTCGTCCAATCACTGAATTGTGTCCTCTCCTAAACTCACCTGCTGCGCTCTCATTGGCTGGAGGAAACACACCAGCTCCCCGCCCAGAAACGTCCCGAGTCAACCAGAACAAAGCAGAAGAGTAAAATCCAGTCAGAGGACAGAGTCTCTGCAGACACAGTCACCACCACACATGTATGGAGGCCCAGAAGGGACAATGGAGCAACTTCACTTTAGGAGAAGTCTGTATTTTATTTTGAAGGAAGAAGCCGCTGACTCCTTCTTTAAGGTTCACAGAGTGATGTGAACGATGTAGACAATTTGAACAAATCTAACACACACAAAAAAAAAGAATGCATCTGAAGGGAGAACCTGCACTAGCTTGAGGTAAAGCCATCATAAGTCATTCCAAAGCTGGGATGTAGGAGGCTGGTTTCCAGATGACACTGACATTCTTTGAGCGCTGTGCAAGAATTGACATTTTGCACACACGCAAAACAAAATTCTCATGTGTAGAGAGTGGCCTGCATGCTTTTGCAATATTCAAGACAAAAGATAAAAGAATAATTTTCATAAAAAAATGATTCAATAAGTGGTTGTTCAAAGTGCTTTTGTTAGCCCGTTGTTGTGATGTCACCAAAGCCTGTCATGCTGCAAAGCCTCTTCAGGCCACAAGAATCCTTTAAACACTTTTCCGTTCTGTGCTCTGGAGTTTCTTTTGGACGATATCCTCGGAGCAGTTCTCTGCGTTTAAAGCTCACCTGTTCTACTCTGATCATATTTAAACCTTCTCTCTTCCTGTGTGTGTGTGTGTGCGTGTGTGCAGGTTCGTTCATGGTGGTGAACGCTTCGGGCCGGGCGTCCGGGCAGAAGGCTCACCTCTACATGCCCACCTTGAAGGAGAACGATACCCACTGCATCGACTTCCTGTACTCGCTGTCCAGCAGGGACGGAGCCAGCCCGGGCACGCTCAACGTCTACATCAAGGTGTGTGTGTCTGTATGTGTGTGTGTGTGTGTGTGTGTGTGTGTGTGTGTGTGTGTGTGTGTGTGTGTGTGTGAGAGTGTGTGTGAGAGTGAGTGACAGGCGGTTAGAGATGGATTGACAGATGAGGGTGCTGATAGGGTGAACAGATTTAACAGGTAAACAAACAGACAGACCTCTGTTCTCTGTCAGGGAGGGGGGAGCCTGCCCCGGGGCTTTGTGTGTGTGTGTGTGTGTGTGTGTGTGTGTGTGTGTGTGTGTGTGTGTGTGTGAGAGAGAAAGACTCAGTTTGCCCTGGTGTACTTTCTTAGATAGTATGGTTAAGACCATCAGTAAATTATTTGTGCAGGACTTTGCTTGCAAGTTTTATTATCCAGTAAAAATCAAAAGTTTTCACCATCTGAACCTGCAGACGTCCGGTTTCTTTTTCTTTTTTTTTAATGACATGCTGTCTGTCGTACCTGTGCGTGCCTGCAGGTGAATGGAGGAGCTCAAGGCAACCCGGTGTGGAATGCCTCTGATACTGTCACCGAAGGCTGGGTGAAGGCTGAGCTCGCCATCTCGACATTCTGGCCCAACTCCTACCAGGTAACACACGCTATGACATAAAAACACACACGCACACACGCACACACACATCCCCCAATAACTGATGACAACATATTAAAGTCATCAGAAGTTGGTCTCCAAACACATTTAATATGTCTCTGTACGTCCCCCTCGAAGCAGCGGGAGCAACTTGGGTTAAGCGTCTTGCCCTAGGTCACATCGACATGTGGCCGCAGGAGCTGGGGATCGAACCCGAGACGACCGACTCCAACTGAGCCACAGTTTGGTCTCATTTTCAATCTGTATCGTTTGCCTACAGTGATAAATTCAAACGATATGAAAACAGAGGAGCAGAGCCGACATCAACTCGTGTCGCCGAGTTATTCCACCAGAAATTCCGACCAATTAGAGAGCATTTTTATAAAGCTTCACAACTTTGAATACGACCAACCGGCCTCTCACATTAACGGCCGCTCTTGAATGACTCAGTGTGTATCGCTCCGTGAGAGGTGCATTCACCCTGCTGTGTTGTTTTATTGAGGCGTCGCAGTGGAGGACGGTGTTTTATCTTCGTGAGTGAGCTGCGTTCAGTTAATGAAGGCACCTCTGTGACGCACACACACACACACACACACACACACACACACACACACATCGGAGACTCAGAGGTAACCAATGAAATGGAAACGTTTCCCTGCCTAATGACGACTCACCTCCCACCGAGAAGCGATACTTTGTTCTGTCAGAACGGACAAAAACATTTTCATATTAAAAGGGAAGACGACTGCAAAGGCAGGGACGAACTCTTACCTCCTACTGCTCTCTTTTAAACCGGCTAAATTTGATCATACTTCCTTTTTATACGAATGTAAAACATGTTTATGGGGAGCACTTTCTCTGTAACTGAAAGAGGCCTCACACCCAGAGAAATGGGCGCAAAGAAACACAAAGCAGACCTGTCCTGACTCCTAGAAACCCGACATCTCTGCTGGAGATTATATTTTTATCTTCATATTTTGAGGGAAAGAAAGAGGCTAAAGTTTTCCCAGAAGTCTTCAGTATTCACACTGAGTCGCAGCTTTTCCTGTCGAGGATCCTGACAAGTACAGCACAGAGGTTTGTGTAAAAGTGTGTGTGTGTGTGTGTGAGCATTTATGTGCAGGTCAGAGGTGCATGGCCCCATGACAGCCCTGCTGACTCCCTGTCACCCACTGAGCGCGTTCAGAGTCTGTGGGAGAGAGGAAAGGAAAGGAGTGACGTAATGGGAGAGAGAGAGAGATCTGATTATAGAAAGAAAGACAAAGAAGGGAGTGATGGAGGAGGAGGAGGAGGAGGAGGAGCATATGTGGTTGGCATAAGGATCAAGACAGAAGGATGGAGGGATGAAGTGAAAGAGAGGAAGAGTTGCTGACTTTCAGTGGAAAACTCCCGCAGGGTTTACATATGAGCTTCACAGGGGCGTCAAGATGTCACAGGAGGAAGAAGTAGAAATGTGTTTTCTCTTCTAAACCATCTTCAGCTACTTTTAGAAAAGGAACTCTTTCTTTTATTCTCTCCTCGCTCCCTTCCTGCTTTGCCTCTTTCTGCAGTCTTCCTTACTTCCTTCCTCCATCTGTCCTTCCTCCCTCCTTCCGTACATGTCTTTTTCATCTTCCTTCCTTTGCTTCCTTCCTTCGATCCTACAATTTAAAAAAAATATCCTTCCTTATATCCTTCCTTTCTTCCTTCCTTCCTTCTTTTCTTCATCCATCAATTCTTCCCTCCCTTTTCCCTCTTCCTCTCCCTACTTTCTTTATTTCCTTCCTTCCTTTCTCCCTCCTTTCCTCGCTTCCTACCTTTGTTGATTCTTCCATACCTCTCTCTATCTACATTCTTTTTCATCTTCCTTCCTTTGCTTTCCTCCTTCCATCATGCCTTCCTTTGTTTCTCTTTCTTTCCCTTCATTATTATTTTTCCTTCCTTCCTTCCTCCATCCCTCCTTCCTTTGCTTCCTTACTTTGATGCTACCTTTCTGTCTTGCATTGTTTCTCTTTCTGTCCCTTCATTATCCTTCCATCCTTCCATCCTTCCTTCCTTCCTTCCTCCATCCCTTCTATTTATCGCCTGTGCTGGGACGGTTTATTCTTTATTCACCAACACACTTTGTTTGCACTCAAACTTTTAGAATATAAATACACATCAGTTGGAGAGTTGAGATGCTCAAAATATGTGACGATATCGACCCTGACTTTTTTTTATTAAAAATAAACTTTTTGTGTTGAAATCTTTTGTAATTCTACTTTTTATTGACTTTTGGTTGTCTCCTTCTCTCCTTCTGTCTTTCCTTCCCTCATCCCTTCCTCTCTTTCAGGTAATATTTGAAGCAGTTTCAGTTCAGGGTCATCCAGGATTCATCGCCATCGACGACATACGAGTTCTGGCTCATCCTTGCCGTAAGTTTGTGTGTTTGTGTGTACATCTGTGTGTGTGTGTGTGTGTGTGTGTGTGTGTGTGTGTGTGTGTGTGTGTGTGTGTGTGTGTGTCTTCTTAAGTACGGGTTGACCCTGCACAACTGTAGCCCACTGAGCATCATCTGTTTTATATCTCACACGCGCACACACACACACACACACACACACACACACACACACACACACACACACACACACACACATAAGGGGTGGGGAGGGGGGGTTCAGCGCAGATTGTGAGGTTTGCAGACAGATTGCAGAGAGTGAAGAAGAAGGTCCAAACTCAGGGTCTTCATCACTCAAATCTGACAGAAACACTTTGCTTCACAAAACTCTGAGAGCTCGCTGTGATGCTCTGCGGCCTCTTTACCTCCCTCCGTCTGCTCACCACTCCTCTCTCTTTCTCTCTCTGTCTCTCCCTCTCTCTCTCTCTCTCCCTCTCTCTCTCTCTTTTGTCTGTTCTTATTGGCTTATTAAGATATCTGATGACTGATTCATAACCACAACATAATCAGTGTTGAGATAGGTTGTGTTAATGAAGCATTGTTCCGCTGTAGCTGCATCAGCTCCTCTATTAGAGCTCAGATCCTATCTTTGTTATTTGACTATTGTGTTGCTTAAATAACAACCTTCACTACGATAACAGTACTAATCACCTTTCAGAGGGCTTAACAAAGGAAGCAGATTAAAACAGAAAAGACATTGATACATCAGGTTGTGAAAGAAAATATAATTACGAATTAGGGTGAGTGACGCTGGCCCATATTAGGGTCACACAACAATGTGTGCTCAAACAGGCCATTTGGAGATTTTTCCTTCATGACATCACAAAGGGCAGTAGCCCCTCCCCCAGGTGGGTGACACTCCCACAGCTAGGTGTTTGTTCTGCCCTCTGAGTCTGCCTTTCACCGTAAACTATAGGACATGGAGCGAGAAAGCCCGAGTACACCCAAGCCCTTCCAGAGAGGGGCGTGGTCAGACACAGCTCATTTACATATTTAAAGGTACAGACACATAAACAGCCTGTTCTGAGCAGGGCTGAAATAGAGGAGTTTATAGGCATGATCAAATACAGGATCAGAGTGGATTCAGAACAAGAAACGTCACACACATATTTTGAGGAGCTCTGAGACTTATTTACACTGAAGAGGAGGAGAATATGTGACCTTTAAGAAACATTTTACACACAATTAATTTGGAAGGATTTTTTCGGAAGCCCTAACCAGACATGTGCACACAAACGTGAGAGTAAAACGTTTTTGAGAAATGATCAATGCATTCTCTGTTAAACTGATCTCAGTCTGCAGACGTGCCGGTCTCAACCCGGAGTCAAAGTCACCAAAACTTTCCCTGTCTTCCTCATTGCTCCGTAGCCTTCCAGTGAGTGTGTCATAATACTCGTGTTTGTGTATTTTTTTTTTTGGTTGCAGGTAAAGCGCCTCACTTCCTGCGCCTGCAGAACGTGGAGGTGAACGTGGGTCAGAATGCCACGTTTCAGTGCACGGCTGGAGGGAAGTGGTCTCAGCACGATAAACTCTGGCTGCAGGTTTGTTTCTTTCTTCTCTGCAAACATGTGCATGAACGACTTCAGCGGAAAGTTAACATGCAGAACACTGCAGAGAGGTCAGAGGTTAAGATTAAAAGTAATATGATGTTAGACGTCAGGGAGACATGATCGGTGTGTCTGCGACTGATCGATGAAATACTCGACTGAATATGTTGCAATAAAGTGCATGCATAAAGAGCCGATGTTGCAACCACAGGGATGAATTATTTATACGTTTTTAATAAAATATAAAAAATTCAAGTACACTGTGGTGAACATCCCCAGCACTCCCAGCTCTATTTCAGGATTGATTAAAAGTCCTTGTTCAGCGCCGCATCGATGACTCCATCTCTGAACAAGTGGCAAGTTTGTGCGTGTGTGCGTGTGTGTGTGTGTGTGTGTGTGTGTGTGTGTGTGTGTGTGTGTGTGTGTGTGTGTGTGTGTGTGTGTGTGTGTGTGTGTGTGTGGGTGTGGGCTCGTTTGATGCACGTGCACCGGAGAGCATGCATGTTTTCACTGTATGTTCACCACCTGAGAGCGCCCCTGTGTACAGTAATGACATTTGCAATGGAGAGCAGTGACCCGACTGGCTGAAGGTCTGTTGGGTGAAGGCAGATAATACTACAGCAGTAAAAGGAGATTGGATGTAGAGAAGGGGGAATTATATGCAGAGATGCAGAGAACACTTTTTTTCACTTTTAAGTCTGCTCGATTTTTTTGATTCCTCCCCTACGGTTGATATCAATACGTCATCACTTCCTGTATTTTGGAATCACTGTGTAGTGATACAGTTCGCTGGAATAATGCCTAAGGGTTTAGACCAAGACCAAGACAGGATTAAAAAAATCTTAAACTCAATTCTTAAAGGCTTAATATGCGATTTTTCACACTTAAATGTAGAAATCAAGTATATCCTCTGAAAATAACTCTCTGAGTCATGACTGTCAACAATGGGTGTAACACCCGAGTCCCACTGTCTGTGATGCTTTCTGAGTTTTCAGAGTCCTATCTTCACTTTGTTTACATCGCCAGGACAGCCGGCCGGCTCCCCCCCTCACGTATAAAAGTTGTTTAATTGAGGGACTAGAGAAAAGAAGAATAACATACTGTACTCAATGCTTAACTGTGTTTCTAGATCATTTCGGGTAAATTTACATGCAGTGTGAAGATACGAGCATTGCATGTGCTAGCATTAGTTGGTGCTCAAGGGCGACATCTGCTGGATCAAAAAAATCACATATAAAGCCTTTAAACAGACAGGCAGCCAGTGGAGGGTAGCGAGGAGAGGAGTGATGTGATATCGTCTGTTGAAATCAGAAAAAGCTTTTTCAGCCGCTGCAATTTGGACCAGTTAGAGGCAAGTAGTGTCAAAGTACTCAAAATCAGTCTTGGTCTCCAGAACACTTTTTGAAGGTCTGGAATCGAAAACATTTTTACTCAGTCTTGTCTCGGTCTCAGACTGGGTGGACTCCAGATTTTAAAATCAAGACCAGGCAAGACCTCCACTGATCGGCTATATTTCCACGTCCTTACTGAGATTAGAAGGAAAACTCTCTTTCTTAAAGAACAAATCATTTCAATTCATTCACATTTGATTTTTATTTCCTGGTTACGGTGGCTACCTTCCTGGTGTTGCGGTCTCAGTGAGGGACACGCCCCCTAAACACAAGATGATGATTTTTCTGTGATATTTATGGTCTTGGTCTTGTCTTGGTCTCGCCCTGCCTTGCTCTTGTTCCTGATCCCTAAATGTCTCGGTCTTTCTTGGTCTCAGAGCACTCTGGTCTCGGTTAGTGTGGTCTTGACTACAACACTATAGGCAGGTGGTTCAGTTGAGAGAAGGTCAGATGAAGCATGAATACCTCTTGTCAGCATGTGAGAGAGATTTTGGTTTATCCTATGTTGTCGTATCTTTGTCTGTTTTATGTATGTTGTTTCCTTAAGCTCCTGGAAGTGAAATTCTTATTTGCAATATAGTTTTAAGGGATACATTTTGTTTTTAGTTACACAAACTTCAGGATTCTCTTCTGATCACTTCTCATCGTGTTAAGAGCTGAACAAGTCGAGGCCTCCTCTCGAGCCCCTTTGCACAAACACCATGCTCCAATTTCCTGACCCTCTCCCCTTTCCCGTCATGCAGCAGTGGAACGGTAAGGACACGGCGCTGATGGTGACCAGGGTGGTGAACCATCGGCGTTTCTCTGCGACCGTCAGCGTGGGCGACACATCGCAGCGCAGCACCAGCCGCTACCGCTGCGTCATCCGCTCCGACGGCGGCTCCGGGGTGTCCAACTACGCCGACCTCATCGTAAAAG